TCTCAAAAGAAGACATTCATACAGCCAACAGACACATGAAAAAATGCTCATCATCACTGGCCATCAGAGAAATGCAAATCAAAACCACAATGAGGTACCATCTCACACCAGTTAGAATGGCGATCATTAAAAAGTCAGGAAACAACAGGTGCTGGAGAGGATGTGGAGAAATAGGAAAACTTTTACACTGTTGGTGGGATTGTAAACTAGTTCAACCATTATGGAAAACAGTATGGCGATTCCTCAGGGATCTAGAACTAGATGTACCATATGACCCAGCCATCCTTTTCAGGTCTTTCTAATTTTGAGTCAATGATTTCAAAATTTGGCTCTAAGCCGTCTTTCCAATATTATATCTTACTGTTTCCTCGTGCAAATCCTCTGCCTTAGACACCCAAGAATACTCATAAACATTTAACGAGTTTCATGCTTTCTCACAATTTGAATTTTCTGCCACTCTCTCCACTCTGTCTTTATCTTTACAGAACAGGCCAAACATTTTGAAAGTAAAAGTCTTAGTAAAAGTTATAAAGTATATGGTACATTAAAGCTTAATTTCCATGTATAATATTATTAGGACTTGGTTTTTCATAGCTATGCTATACTTGAACCTGAAATACTTAAATGAATATATACGAAGGATGAAAAGATGAGTTACCTCCACACCCATACATACTCATTTAGAAAGGCATACATAATCTGTGTGGGCTAACATACTTGAATTAGTAAAAATATCTCCAATGTTTTAGATTTTTTACTTATATTACAATTCACCTCTGAAGATGTGTAGACTTCAACATTAAAATTAAACAAGAAATAAAAGGATGTCTTTATATAATGTTTCATCAAAAATATACATGTTAATACTTCCTATGGAGGAAAGATTTCTGGGAGAAACGAAGGCAAAGGAATGAGCTGCTGGTGATTAGCTGGTTTAATAGTTTTACATATTTGTTGTCAGAATCCTTTAAACCAGAGCTTGGTGGGAGGCACAGTTTGAAAACTTAGAGTTACATTAATTAAAGAAGTGGTGGGAGAAAAGAAGATCCTGCCTGGAAGACTAAGAAGGTAATGGGAGTGCTCTTTAAAGCTGTGCTAAAGAGGTTCACGATACCTTTTTGCCCTGAGAATCAGGACCATTTTCCTGCTCCGAGGGCAGCATGGGCTTGTTCTCACAGTCATTCAGAAGGGCAAATGAGAAGTTATATGTGTGTCTATGAGCTACACAATCATTTTCAACTGGCTCTGTGGATTACAATGTCATTTTGTGACACAACTTGAGACTCTACACCGACTTCTCCATGTGGATTTCAAAACCCCTAAATTATACCCCACCATCTTGCTTTCCTAATATTTTATATAAACTCACATCAATTTTTTCCCAATATTTTATTATGCAGGACCTGTAAGTTTTCCTGGGGAAAAAGTATTAGCACTAAATATGCATTTTTCTGTCAGAAATAATAAAGTAGTCCAAAGATATTTCCCTTTTTCCATAAAATTCCAAGGGAAACCCACTTAGAAAATTTAGAGTATAATTGAAGAATTCTACTGAGCATACATGACATAAAATTAAACAATACTTGGGTAGAAAAATGTTTGGAGGTCACTGTCAGGACAATTTTTCTGTTATGTACTGAAAAAGATGACTTGCTATGGTTTCTTAATGTGCTTAAATGTGTTTCATTTGATCACATTAATATTTGTACAGTTATTTTTCCATTACTCGTGAAACACCAAAAACACCAAGCAATAATTGCACATATTTTTTCCTTTTATGACCATACATTTTCCCTGACAAGTCTTTTAAATTGACATATGTTATGAGAAACCTTTTTTTTTTTTTCTTGAGATAGAGTTTCACTCTTGTCGCCCAGGCTGGAGTACAATGGTGTGATCTCGGCTCACTGCATCCTCCGCCTCCCAGGTTCAAGAGATTCTCCTGCCTCAGCCTCCCGAGTAGCTGGGATTACAAGCACCCACCACCACTCATGGCTAATTTTTGTTTTTAGTACAGATGGGGTTTCACCATGTTGGCCAGGCTGGTCTCTGTTCCACCCACCTCGGCCTCCCAAAGTGCTGGGATTGCAGGTGTGAGACACTGCGCCAAGCCTGAAACTTTTTATGATATATTCATAATATGTTTGACAAAGCTAATACTTCCAATGTAATTATTCACATTGACTGAAAGGCTCCTTTACTACATCCCTCTATCTTATTGCTCACTTAGATGATTCATTAAAAATCATTTAGACATATAGATGGCTAGGCATGAATGTGGCGTCGTTCTAAGAGCATAAGGTGTATTATGAACCTCTCCGTTACTCAAGGACTACCTTTATGCCTCCATCTCTAACTCATGGGAGGAATAGGAACCTTGAACAGAGATTTGGTGCCTTCCTTTACTCATAGCTTGTACACAACTCACTGTGATGGTGATGTGTTTAGCCTGTGAACCTACATAACAGAACTCGACAGGCAAAAAAATAGTTTCATTCCACATTAGAAAGCAAACAATACAGCCATAGAAAAGAACAAGATAATGTCTTTTGTAGGAACATGGATGGAGGTGGAAGCTATCATCCTCAGCAAACTAATATAGGAACAGAAAACCATATACCACATTTTCTCACTTACAAGAAGGAGCTAGATGATGAGAGCTTACGAACACAAAGAAGGAAACAACAGACACTGGGGGTCTCCTTGACATTGGAGGGTGGGAGGAGGGAGAGGAACAGAAGAGATAACTATTGGGTGCTGGGCTTAATCCCTGGGTGATAAAATAATTTGTACAACAAACCCCCATGACATGAGTTTTCCTATGTAACAAACCTTCACACGTACACCCAAACCTAAAATGTTAGAAAATAACCAAAAAACACCCCAAAACAAAACAAAATATTTGCCTCCCAAAACCAAACAAAAATCCTCACTGTTTTATCTAAATCATTATTAAATGCAGTCCTTTCTTAAAATTTTTACATTTTGTTATATTTACAAAACAATAAAATCATTTCCCACTTGATATAAGAACAAAAATCTCTGTTAATTCATTACATTATTAGAATAAGCAAATTAATTACTGCCAACATCAAATTCATTTTAATTTCCATGACCATCATATAGAGTTCTATACATAGAGGGTGGACTTCCACAATGAAAACGTGCTTCACTCTTTTTATTTCCTCCTCACAGCATGTTCTGCTTTAAAGACATATTGAGGGAATAAAATACATGGAATTTTATTCTAGTATCAAGTGAGACTTTAAAATATATGTGAAAATATTTGATAAACACTTTTTTTCTAATGGGTGCACTTAGAAAATATAGTTTTAGGTATATTTATATTTTGGCAATATAGTCTCTTAAGTAAAACAAAGCATATTGTAACAAAATATTTTGGTCAAAACTCTAAACAGTATATAGACTTCAAAATAACTCACTCAAAATTCATGAGATTTAGATTTCATGCTCAACTTATCAGGAAGAAACACATCCAGAATAGAAGTGGGTAGACTCTACTTCCACTCAATGGCTATATCTACATAACTGTGAATTAAAACAAACAAAAAACAAAAGCTAGAAAACTGAAATTGGTTCTTAGTCATTATGTCTAGTTATGACAAATCGAGACACTATGAGATGATTTTCTCCTCTGGAAACCAGGCATTCAAAGAGTTCCAATGACTCAGGATGGGAGTGTACAGAAGAGAAATGAGGAAAGAAGAAAGCATTGATGCAAGAAGATACAATTAATCAATTCATCAATTCATCACCACACCCTGATCTCTACTACCATGGCATTATAGCCATGATCTCTTTCAGCCTTCTCTCTGCCACTATTGCCCTTGGAGCTAATTTTAATAGATTTTACATCTTTAAGATGGTAGTGTTGAAGAGGGATATTGAACCACTGTGATGTGCTGTGAATTTTCCTAGGAAGGGCCCCAGGGGTCTGCCATGTAAGTGTAACAACTCTTATGTGAGTGTATCTCACTTTATACACAAACACTGCAATAATCTAACGTTATACATTTCTCAACCTGATATTATTTCCCTTTGATTATTTAGGTTGCATCTACCCCATGAGAAAGATTTTGAGAAGGTGTGAAAACTTTATTCCAAATCTTAGATACTCTATAAATGTCTTCCATTTTATAAAGGCTATCCGAAAGTGAAGCAAGGACAATTCTGAAAATTTCTTCAATTTTAGGTTTGGTCAAACCAACAATAAATACAAAGAAATGGCTTCATCTGAGTAACTGATACTTCCAAGAGTTGGCCAATTGCAGTCTTTTGTAGATTATATACTTTACTAGTTAGATTAAAAATTATGGCAGGTGGAAATCCTAGAATGCTTTGGCTGCCTATCTACGGATACAAAACCATGTTGTATAATTCCAACCTTATTAAAGCATTATAACATTGGCTTTTAACTCTCTTTTGGATTAGGACCAGGTACACTGGTACAGCTCAGTAAAACCTAAGATTGGAAATAATTTGAAATCTCAAAGTCATTGTCACCTTACCCATTTCACCTGGCTAATTACTTCCTCTCTTTTCATACAGCCCAACAAATATGTATTCACATTACTGGGGAAAAGAGACTTTCCCTATATTTACACAATGGAATGATTTTTGCCCTTCTAATTAACCAGCATGAGTCAAACGTTTAAAAGGTTTCAGAAGAAACTGTGCCTTCAATTAACATTCACAGTTTCTAAATTAATCACTGCTGACCTTAACATGCAGGAGTCTTAAAGACATGTTTCAAATTTAAAAAATGGTAATTTTATTCAAAGAAATCTAACTACCTATGTTTCATAAGTGTTTGGTCATTGTTTTTTTCCTATTACTGCATAAGGAGTCCTAGAATTTGGAGCATTATTTCATCACACCTCTGGATAAAAGCCCTACAAATAACCTTGAGCATGATAACCATATTGTCTTCAATATACAAATTAATAATGACTCATTATACACTTTGAAAAATCCATACCGTGCTCGCTTCAGCAGCATATATACTAAAATTGGAATGATGCAGAGAAGATTAGCATGATCTCTGTGCAAGGATGAAATACAAATTCATGAAGCATTCCATATTTTTCAATAAATGTCCACATCAACAAGTTAGAAAGATCTCAAATTAACAACCTAACATCACAACTAAAAGAATTAGAGAAGCAAGAGCAAACCAACCCATATCTAGCAGAAGACAAGAAATAACCAAAATCAGAGCTGAACTGAAGGAGACTGAGACACAAAAATCCATGCAAAAGATCAAGGAATCCAGGTGCTGTCTTTTTTAATAGTAATTCAATAGAGAGACCGCTGGCTAGACTAATAAAGGGATAAAAGAGAGAAGATCCAAATAAACACAATTATAAATGACAAAGAAGATGTTACCACTGACCCCACAGTAATACAAACAACCATCAGAGACTACTATCAACACCTCCACGCACACAAACCGGAAAATCTAGAAGAAATAGATAAATCCCTGGACACATACATACACCCTTCCAAGACTGAACCAAGAAGAAATTGAAGCCCTCAACAGACCAATAACAAGCTCCAAAATTGATTCAGTAATGAACAGCCTACCAACCAAAAAATGCCCAGGACAGGAAGGATTCACAGCCGAATTCTACCAGATGTACAAAGAGATGGTACCATTCCTACTGAAACTATTGCAAAAAAAAAAAAAAAAAAAAAAAAAAAAGATAAGGAGGGACTCATCCCCAAATCATTCTATGATTTCAGCATCATCCTGATACCAAAACCTGGCAGAGAGACAATAAAAAAGAGAAAACTTCAGGCCAATATCCTTGATGAACACAGAGGCAAAAATCCTCAACAAAATACTTGCAAACCGAATCCAGCAGCACATCAAAAAGTTAATACACCACAATCACGTAGGCTTTACCCCTGGGATGCAAGTCTGGTTCAACACACTCAAATCAACAAATGTGATTCATCACATAAAGAAAATTAGACAAAAACCACATGATTACCTCAACAGATGCAGAAAAGACTTTTGGTAAAATTCAACATCCTTTCATGTTAAAAACTTTCAATAAACTAGTTATTGAAGGAACATACCTCAAAATAATAACAGCCATCTAGGAGAAACCCACAGGCAACATTATACTGAACAGGCAAAAGCTGGAAGTATTCCCCTTGAAAACTAGCAAAAGACAAGGATGCCCTTTCTCACCATTCTTGCTCAACATAGTATTGGAAGTCCTGGCCAGAGTCAGCAGGCAAGAGAAAGAAATAAAAGTCATTGAAACAGGAAGAGAGGAAGTCAAACTATCCCTATTTGCAGACAACACGATTCTGTATCTAAAAAATTTTCATAGTCTTGGTCCAAAAGCTCCTTGAGCTGATAAACAACTTCAGCAAAGTTTCAGGATACAAAACTGATGCGCAAAAATCACTAACATTCCTGTACACCAACAACAGCCAACCTGAGAGACAAATCAGGAACACAATCCCATTCACAATTGCCACAAAAAGAATAAAATACTTAACAATTCAGCTAACCAGGGAGGTAAATGATCTCTACAATGAGAATTACAAAACACTGTTCAAAGAAATCAGAGATGACACAAACAAATGGAAAAACATTCCATGCTCATGGATAGGAAGACTCAATATCATTAAAATGGCTACATTGCCAAAGCAATTTACAGATTCAACGCTATTCCTATCAAACTACCAATGACATTCTTCACAGAACTAGAAAAACCATTTTAAAATTCATGTGGACTCAAAAAAGAGCCCAAATAGCAAAGGGCATCTTAAGCAAAAACAAAAAAGCAGGGGGCATCATATTACTCTACTTCAAACTATGCTACAGAGCTACAGTAACCAAAACAGCATGGTACTGGCACTGAAAAAGACACACAGACAAAGAGAACAGAATAGAGAGCTCAGAAATAAGGCTGCACACTTACAACTATCTGGTCTTCCACAAAACTGACAAAAACAAGGGGAAAGAATCACTATTAAATAAATGGTGCTGGGATAACTGGCTAGCGATATGCAGAAGACTGAAACTGGAACCCTTCCTTACACCATATACAAAAATCAACTCAAAATGGATTTAAGACTTAAATGTAAAACTCAAAACTATAAAAACCCTGGACGATAATCTAGGAAATATCATTCTGGACATAGGAACTGGCAAAGATTTCATGACGAAGATCCCAAAAGCAATTGCAACAAAAGCAAAACTTGACAAATGGGATTTAATTAAACTAAATAACTCCTGCACAGCAAAAGAAACTATCAACAGAGTAAACAGACAACATATACAGAATGGGAGAAAATTTTTGCAAACTATGCCTCTGACAAAGGTCTAATATCCAGCATCTATAAGGAACTTAAATTTAGAAGCCAAAACAAACAACCCCATTAAAAAGTGGGCAAAGGACAGGAACAGATACTCTTCAAAAGAAGGCATACATGTGGCCAAAACACATATGAAAAAAGGTGCAACACCCTTGTAGTATAGTTTGAAGTCAGGTAGCACAATGCCTCCAGCTTTGTTCCTTTTGCTTAGGATTGTCTTGGCTGTACAGGCTCTTTTTGGGTTCCATATGAAATTTAAAGTAGTTTTTTCTAATTCTGTGAAGAAAGTCAATGGTAACTTGATGGTGATAGCATTGAATCTATAAATTACTTTGAGCAGTATGGCCATTTTCACGATATTGATTCTTCCTATCCATGAGCATGGAATGTTTTTCCATTTGTTTGTGTCCTCTCCTATTTCCTTGAACAGTGGTTTGTAGCTCTCCTTGAAGAGGTCCTTCACATTCCTTTTAAGTTGCATTCCCAGGTATTTTATTCTCTTTGTAGCAAAGGGCTAATATCCACAGTCTACAAAGAACTTAAACAAATTTACAAGAAAAAACAACCCCATCAAAAAGTGGGCAAAGGATATGAACAGAGACTTCTCAAAAGAATACATTTATGGGGCCGACAAACATATGAAAAAAAGCTCATCATCACTGGTCATTAGAGAAATGCAAATCAAAACCACAATGAGATACCATCTCATGCCAGTTAGAATGGTGATCATTAAAAAGTCAGGAAACAACAGGTGCTGGAGAGGATGTGAAGAAATAGGAGTGCTTTTAAACTGTTGGTGGGAGTATAAATTAGTTCAACCATTGTGGAAGACAGTGTGGTGACTCCTCAAGGATCTAGAACCAGAAATACCTTTGGAGCCAGCAATCCCATTACTGGGTATATACCCAAAGGATTATAAATCATTCTACTATAAAGACACATGCACACACATGTTTACTGCAGCACTATTCACGGTAGCAAAGACTCGGAACCAACCCAAATGCCCATCAATAATAGAGTGGATAAAGAAGATGTGGCACATATACACCATGGAATACTATGCAGCCATAAAAAAGGATGAGTTCATGACCTTTGCAGGGACACGGATGAAGCTGGAAACCATCACTCTCAGTGAAGTAACACAAGAACAGAAAACCAAACACAGCATGTTCTCACTCATAGGTGGGAGTTGAACAATGAAAACACTGGAAGGGAACATCACACACCAGGGCCTCTCAGGGGGTCGGGGGCTAGGGGATGCATAGCATTAGGAGAAATACCTAATGCAGATGACGGGTTGATGGGTGCAGCAAATCACCATGGCATGTGTATACCTATGTAACAAACGTGCACGTTCTGCACATGCATCCCAGAACTTAATTAAAAAAAAGTGCAACATCACTGATCATTAGAGAAATGCAAATCAAAACCACAATGAGATACCATCTCAGGCTAGTCAGAATGGCAACTATCAAAAAGTCAAAAAACAACAGATACTGGCAAGGTTGTAGAAACAGGAGAATGCTTATACACCATTGGTGGAAGTGTAAATTAGTCCAACCATTGTGGAAAGCAGTGTAACAGTTCCTCAAAGAGCTGAAAACAGAACTACCATTCAACCCAGCAATCCCATTACTGGGTATACACCCAAAGCAATATAAATTGTTCTACCATAAAGACATGCACACGTATGTTCATTGCAGCCCTATTCACTATAGCAAAGACATGGAAGCAACCTAAATGCCCATCAATGGTAGACTGAATAAAGAAAATGTACATATACACTGTGGAATACTATGCAACCATGAAAAAGAATGAGCTCATATCTTTTGCAGGAACATGGATGGAGCTGGAGGCCATTATCCTAAGCAAACTAATATAGGAACAGAAAACCAAATACCACATGTTCTTACTTATAAGTGGGAGCTAAATGATGACAATACATGGATACAAAAAAGGGGAAAAACAGACACTGGGGTCTACTTGAGGGTAGAAGGTGGGAGGAGGGAGATGATCAGAAAAAATAAATAATGGGTACTAAGTATAGTACTTGAGTGATGAAATAATCTGTACACCAAAGCTCCATGACACAAGTTTACACATATAACAAACCTGCACATATACCCCTGAACCTAAAAAGTTAAATAATCATAAATATTTAGAAAACTCATTCATTTCTAAATACATATTGATTCATGTTCAGAAAATATCTAAGAGCACTTAATATGTACAGGTACTACTGTGCTGGAAATACAATGAACAGAACAGACAAAAATTCCTGCCTCTGTGAAATTTACATTCAGGGGAGCCATATACAACAAAAGTATAAATAAGTATTGTACACACTCACCCTTCATATCCATAGGGGATTGATTCCAGAACCTTCCATGCAGCCCCAAATCAGAAGATGTTCAAGTTCCTTATATGAAATGGTCTAATATTTGCATGTAAACTATGCTCATTTTCTCATTTAAATAATCTCCAGATTATTTATAACACCTAACAGAATGCAAATGCTACATAAATAGATTTTATACTGTACTGTTTAGAGATTAATGCCAATAAATAAAGTCTGGACATTTAAAAAAGTAAAGAAAAATCCATACTATACTATATTTCACACCACCTGCATTTTCCTGCAGGAAGACAGCGGCATACAAATTTCAGAATATTCTTAAAATTTTCTTTATAAAAGTGGAATTATTACAATTGTTAAAGAAACCCAAATGCAGGTGGTTTATACTGAAAACC